AAATAGTATTTTCTCTTCTCTCCTGGAGGCCATTCCAGGACTTAGTAATACGAGGGCATACACAACCATGGCCTTTTGCTTAAGCAAAAGGATGCGAGTCTAGAAAGAAGGCACAGAGTTGGGGCCTAGCCTGTATCCACAGTGTTTACCACCCTCTCATCATGCCCCTACAGAGCAGCCTTGAGAAGAGTAGAACTTTGGTCTACAAACTCCCAATTAGGCCAACTCTGTAATTCCAAGGAACAATTACCTTAGCCCCCAGCTCTGTGCAAGCCTACACTCCTATAATTTGTGAATGTGCAAAAGGGAGAATAATATTATCACTTGTACACATTATTATCCTGTTACCTATGAACACTTACTCCTCAATACCTTAAGCAAATAAATTCTGTGGTTGCAAGAGAGTGTAAAATTTTTATAGACTAGGTTGGGAAGTGATTAAAACAAAATTCCAAAACTGAAAATTGAAAGAAAAATAGTTCTTTGGTCTCTAAAAAAAAATTGTAAGAATAAAATAGATCTGGACTTTTTACAGACTTAGATATTATAGTCCACTCTTCTAGTTGTGGGTCGTGTGGAATCCAGGCTTCAGTTCCTCAGTTAACACAAAAGTTAATCTGTGAGTCTTTACAGGACTCACAAGGAGGCCTTTTCTTCTGAGTAATTTGCCTCCCTGTACACCAGCTGGGCTATATCTACATAGACAAAATCTTCATTATTTTACCCAGGATGGTAGACTGGCTGGACCTCATAATGAAACAGTAGGTATTAAAAATTCCTTCTCTAGGGGCACCTGGGTGGCTCAGTAGGTTGAGTGTCTGACTCTTGATTTCAGCTCAGGTCATGATCTCAGGGTCATGGAATCGAGCTCTGCATCAGGCTCCACGTTTGGCGTCGAGTAGGCTTGGGATTCTCTCTCCTTCTCCCCCTGCCCCTCCCCCCCACTCTCTTTCTCTCTAAAATAAATAAATAAATCTTTAAAAAAATATTGCCTCTCTGTGGAAAATACATTTAGGGGATGTTGGAGTTTTAAATATAAGGGTTTCCAGAAAAACACCATTTTTTTCCTAGTGGTTTCCTCATCATCATCCCCATTGACAATTCCATAGCATTTTAGAAAATAAATTTACAGACTAGAATGATCTTTGGCCATGAGGAAAGAATGTTTTTATAGCACCATTAAATACCTTTTTTAAAAAAAAATTTAAGTAATACCTACACCCAGCATGGGGTTTGAACTCATGACCCCGAGATCAAGAGTCACATGCTCTACCAACTGAGCCAGCCAGGAACCCATTATAGTTCTCTTAAATATCTTAGTGAACACTTTCGGGGGTCTATTTGTTATTTTTCTTTCTTTTTTTTTTTTTTTTTTAGTTTTTTAAATCGTTTTTTAATTTTTTTTTATTATTTGTTATTTTTCTATAACCTCTTCTGTTGATGTTAGTTTCTAAAGGTTTAGTACTGTATTCCTCTTCATTAACAAAGAAATTAGGGGTATCTAGAGATTTTCCTTGTTTCCATTTTTTGATGAATTGCCATTTGTAATTCTTTTAAGTTTGAATCCTTTGATTCTTTATAACTTAGATAATGTTTTGATAGATTGGTCTCATAGAATGATTTAGGATCTTAAAAAAGACATTTATTAGCACTTTAATATGACTTTTCCCCTAGGACTGTCAAACAAATCAGTACAATAAGAATATTCAAACCAATTGGCAAATCGTTCCTGAACACATTTGTTGATAGCAAACATTTCAATTTGGAACTAAAAGGTCACTATGTCAGTTCCTGAACCTCTAATTTCAACATTACCTAAGACCATACCAGAATACATAGCCACTCTTAAGAACTTTCAGAGAAAGTTGTAGTAATTTCCTTCAGAAGTGCTGTTGAGACTATCACAACTAAAGTGCATGCATTCATGGCAACAAGAGCAAATGGATATTGATACAGGATAAGTCATTGGTAAGACTAATAACTGTCAAGTCCAGCTATGAGGATATATAACAGTTATGGGGAAATATAAGCTGCAAAATCAGCCATTCAAAAAAAGAAAAAGTCACTATAAAACTGATTCACTTATTTGTTCTTTTGTAAATATTTACAAATAAAGTGAGTGAATAAATGAATGCAGGAATGTTGAGGATATGCTAGACACTGCATATCACATATCCTGGTTGTATGGTGAGCAGGAAAAACATGGTTCTTGCCCTCATAAAACTTACAGTCTAGCAGGAGAGAAAAACATTTTAAAAAATCACATAAATAAGTATCTCATTAAATTTCTTTTTTTTTTTTTTTAAGATTTTATTTATTTGCCAGAGAGAGACACAGTGAGAGAGGGAACACAAGCAGGGGAAGTGGGAGAGGGAGAAGCAGGCTTTCCACAGAGCAGGGAGCCCGATGCAGGGCTCTATCCCAGGACCCTGGGACCATGACCTGAGCCCAAGACAGCCGCTTAAGGACTGAGCCACCCAGGCGCCACTAAATTTCAATGACAATGCTGTTGATGAGTGTTCTGACTGTCATACCATTTTTTTTGTTCTCCATAAGAGGACTAAAACACCCAGGAAATAATTTTTCAAGTGTAAAAGCTGGAAAAAACATCTTTTCTGAAAATCTCCCTCCTGTGATATGGGTCCATTATCTCATTCCCTCCGTGGAAGTCGAAAGTCTTTGTGTTACATTGACTCTCCCTTCCACCTTTCATAACCAAGTAGGTACCATGGCTTATTGATTTTATCATCCAAATATATCTTATATTCATGCCCTCTTCTCCATTTCTTTTTAGAGAAGGGGGAGAGAGAGGTAGGGGGCGCAGAGAGAGAAGGAGAGAAAGAATCTTAAGCAGGCTCCACACCCAGCGTGGAGCCTGATGTGGGGCTCAATCTCACGACCCTGAGATCTTGACCTAAGCTAAAACCGAGAGTCAAATGCTTAATCAACAGAGCACCCAGGTACCCACCCCACCTTCTTCTCCATTTCCATATCCAAAAGCATAGTACTAGTTCTCTGTTACTCTACCCAAATTGTTTTATCTTGACTCCCAGAATAGGAGATATTAAAGTAGGAAAGGACCCTAGAGATCATTCTTCAGATGGGGAAACTGAGGCTCAGAAAGACAAATGTCTCACCCAGGACCCCACAATTCAGCCTAGCCACAGCCATGCCAGTAACTTTTCTCTAGAGCAGCTAATATGGAAGCCATGGAACACTACTCATTGCCTGCTTCCTGTCATTCCCAGCCTCTTCTTCCTTGTTAGAAAATCCCCTTTCCCATGGTAGGAACCAAAAATGACATATACTTGTTTCCTAGGGATGGCCCTGTGACCCAGTTTTGGCCACCAAGATATAAAGGGAAGTCTCTGGCTGGTTTCTGAGAAAGAGTTTGCTTCTGACATAAAGTGAAATCAACTAGAGCAACCAACCCCCTGATCCCCTGTCTTCCTGTCCTTGGAGCTGAACAACAACAGCCTAAGGACAAAAAGCCAACAGCTGAGAATTGAAAGAATCAAAGCACTTGGGACCCTCATCTATGAGCCCTGAGCTAATCTTGAAACTGCCTACTTGCAGACCTTTTATAATGAGAGATTGTTTGAAGTCTTTCCTACCTACAACTTTATGTCATGTGCTCTGTTACTTGCAGCTGAGTGCACCCTGAATGGTCACTGGTTTATTTCTTTATTTTCCCTCTACCCCTCTAAGCTCTTCAGGAGCAAGGAATTGACCTATTTTTTTTTTTTTTTCATTGCGTGTTCCCAGTTCCTAGAACAGAGCCTGGCACAAAATCAGCCCTTGAGAAATAGTTGTTGAATGAATGAATGCCCAAAAATCTTCACTGGCTCTCTAATTCTGCAGAATAAAGTCCAAAAGATTAATCTGGCATTCAAGGCCCTTCCTGATCTAGCCCCAATCCATCTTTCCAGCCTTATCTTTTACTTTCACACATGCTACCACTCAGAAAAACTGACTACTTCCAGTCCCCCCAAACACCCACTGAGCTTTCTGATGCAGGGCTTTGGCTCACAGAGTCTGTCTGTGGAATAGGCTCCTTCCCCTCCTCCACTTTGACACTTTTTCATTCGTTCTTCAAGCTCCAGATAGATCTCCTATTAGCACTTCCTCTGATACTTTTCAGGTACAAATATCTTTTCTATGTTCCCTTTTCTTTTGTGCCATTTATCACTTTTAAACATTCATGCTAATTATTACAGTGTACTCATCTCTATCAGATTATAAACTCCTTGGGGATAGAAAATTCACCCTCCCAAGAAACAAACAGAAAGCTTTGCCCCAGTGGATACCTAGTACATTTTTCTTTGTGAGTAGGAGCATAAACAACATCAAAGTGAGCCCATTTAAACAATAATTCGGACCCAGGAATTGGTGCTGACTTTCACTGAAGCAGAGGTCTGATGCATTGCAGGAGGGGAAAGAAGGAGGGCAAGAGACTTGTTGGAAGCGTCAGGAGCTAGCACTGACGCTTTGTCTCCTGCCGATGATAGCAAAGTTCTTAACGGAAGATGATCCCAGTCAATAGAGCCAGACGTCTGATTTATATAATGGAGTCAAGCAGAAGCAGTGGTCTTCCTCCGCAGAGCGACGGAAAGGGAAAAGGCTACTAGACTAGAATAACCGAGGGACTCCACAAGTAGAGCTGCCGGTGTTCAGAAACGCGTTCCCCATCAGCAAACCACAGGAGAGCTCCCGAGAGCAGCCTCCTTGAGCCTGGATGCTGAGGAGTGACGGTGGGGCGAGTGTCGCTGCTGGGTTTTGGCCGCCGCCGCAGCTGCCAGGGGCACGCTGCGCAGTGAGGGGTCTGACCGCGCACCGACCGCCCTCGGCCCTCCGCTCTCCCGAGCCTGGGTCTGGCTGGGAATGAGAAGTTAAAGGGAGCCAGGGCTGGGAGGCGCAAACCCCAACAAGAAATCTAGGGAGCGAAAGGAGAGCGACGGTGATCTTGAGCCAGGACATCAGGCCAAGTGGACCTGGAGGAAATGTCATCATTGGTAAAGGAGGACTTGGAGAACAAACTGTTTAAGCCGCTCTCGCAGAATCTCTACGAGTTTATTGAGATCGAGTTCTCGGTCCAGGACAGGTATTACCTCTGTGTGTCAGGTAATCTGTTCTTTCTGTTATGACTTCAGAATGTAAATAACTCCAAGAGGCATGGGTGGTGGAAGGACATGTTTGTATGTATTTTCCGAAATAACAACAGCACGTGTATCTTCTCGTGATAGAGCTTAACTATGCCAAGTTTAGGAATTCAGATTCCACAGGATTTTATTTTCAGTGCTAAAATGGAAGACAGAAAAATAATATCATAGTAAGAATATCTTGGTTGGCTGTTCAGAATGAAACCGGGTATGTATTTTCCTGCTTTGATTATTTTGTCTCCAATCTTTTATTTAACTCACTTGCATGGTATACAATCTTTATGTGTAAGAGCTTATTTTAAAAAATTCAACAGAGAGCTTTCTTTATATTTTTAAATACACTAGAGAATTGAGTTATACAGCTCTATTTCCAACCAGCCTGGACAACTAGGAGATTCTCCTTTTTCATGCTAGGAAGGAAAAAAAGACCTTAGATTTTCTTCTAAGGGCTTATTTAGACTTCCTGGTGGTTTATTTTGAAAAGAGAAATGATCTTCTAAAAATTCTTTCTCTTCTAGGAAGTATGCTCACAGAAACAATACTTTAATCATAGAAATTAGTTCATGAAGATGGAACTTTAACGATAAGGGGCTGCTCTCTAAACTACTTAACTAAAATACAGATTTTTCCCTCATGTTCTTAAAATTCACAAAAATTGTCCATACATGGGAATAGGCTTTTGTGCTTAATTATGATTTGCCTAACCTGCCATGTTTGTGAATTTAGACAGAAATGTTTGTGCCATTATTGAATTTAATATATAGCATTCCCTTTTCCCAATCCATGCCTTTTGCTACTTCTCAGGGGCTTAGGAGGAAAGAGCTCAGAAACTCTAAGTGTTCATTGTGGACTTTCTTTTTTAAGGCACACACCTCAACATTTTCAGAAAACAACTCCTGATAATTGCCTCAGAAGGAATCTCTAAAGTTGTCAAGTTGGAGTACTATAAGGGAAGTAGAACAGCCTTAAATAAAGTGCTCAGAATTTTTTAAAATTCTATCATTCCTAATAAGAACAATGTTTACTCAATAATAAGCATACTAATATTTATCTAACACTTTACCTAGCATATGTTGCTGTATATAAATACAAAGTATGAGGACTTGGCATATCAGCAAGGTAAAAAACTTAATTGGCCAGGAAAAAGAAAGAAATCAAATTATGGGAAAATGTCAAATGAAATAATTTTAGAAACTATATTGTATCCTAACCACGAAATCACTGTATAAGTATTTTGACTTAATATATTAGAGAAGATGTTTATTCCATCATTAATATTTAATCATTTTATTCCTCTCATGATCCTCTTTATAAAGTTAATTACTCATCATGTAACATTAGTAAACAAGTATTTTTAAGGAAAACTTATAAAAATAAAATAATCTGAACAATGTATATATCTAACTTACCAAATATATTTTAATTCCTTTCTCCAATCATATAAATAACTAAACTTGTCCTATCTGGTATGAAAAAAAAAAGTCCCCTGGAATTAAACTTTTGGAAATGGATAATGTCTTTTTTTCTGCTGTCCTTGAGTTCTAAGAAAGATACTGTGGGCTGGGGTTACCTGCTGTCTTTTTTCATACATGACCTGAATCCTTTTAACAATGATCAGAAGGTCAAGGGGTTAACATTCTTAATATGTGTGAAGGCAACCTCTTCAGGGTTCAATTTTCTCATCTGGAAAATGACAAGAGTAGGTGATCACTTTCATTAGTAAAATTCAATGATTCTCTTCTGTAAGAAGTAAGGAAGGAAAAAAAAAAGGTCCTCTCAGATGTGAAGAGAAAGCACGATTGTGTTATTTCAGATAAAAGTTAACATTACAAGTCATATTTATTCCTAATTTTTCATACTCTTCTCTGTATCACAGCCATCAAATGGAGAGCACTTTCCTTAAATGTAACATCTCTTTATGACCCTTTAAATACATTTAGGCAGACTGGTAATTTAAAATGAAGTCAGTGTGATGATTGATAGTCTTTAATCTTTGATCATGCTTTACTCAGAAGATTTCTATTGATATGAATCAAACAGGTCATATCACAATTATTGAGGCAGGTAACTCCAAATTTTGAATGTTGGCGACCTTCACAGAATAGAGACTGATGATTATAATTTTCTCTTTATTTCCTACAATCTAGCAGTTCTAAATTTGTAAGAATTGAAAGGCTAGACTAGCTGAATTCCATCAGGCACTTTTCAAACTAAAGAAGGTATGTTTAGATAAGTTAAATTTTCTACTTATCTGATCAGAATCTGTCTTTTGTAGGGGTCTCACAACCAGATGATTCTGATTTACTGTTATCTTAATATTTTACCTGATTGATGTCAAAAATCAGATGTCATAAACCCAATCTCCCTCTCTGTATTTTGCTAGGATTTACATTGAGGATTTCCTGGCACCTCAGTCTCCTCCCAACTCAGAGTTTGCATGGTCATTTCTCCTTGGGATTAGCTTCCCCTAGCCTAGAATATCATTATCCCTGTCAGTTAAAAGCAGCATCTTCTTATAGAGGATAGAGGAGCCCTATTTTATGCAGTCACTAGAAAGGGATAAGTCACTGTCCAATGATGAGTGCAAATGAATTAAAGGAATTCTGAAAGACTTGAAATAGTATATCCAGCATTTGCCATAACTGAATGGGAAGTAGCAGGGCATAGTAGAACGGACCCTGGGATGCTCGCAATCAGGTCTGGTATAAAATGTGACTCTACTTTGTCCACCTGCCGGCTGTGAAATTTGGGGCAAGATAATTAACTTCTCTGGCCTCAGTGTTGGCATCTCTGAAATGGAAATAATAACACCTACATATGCACATAGTGCTCTCCTATTAAATCCTAACTAGGGGAAAAAAAAAAACATGATAAATTATGTTCCAAAGAAATAAAATAAAAGATAGGGTTATATTTTTTAAATGTATAGAAAAATATATTTACTGTAAAAATATGCTGAAATATATTTGTATAAATCATATATACCTTAAATATTTATAATAAAAATAAAATAGACACTAAACATATATTATATTTAATATTTAATGAAAATTGAGATATTATATTGTATATACATATTCAGATACAGAGTATTTTAAGTATTCTCATATATTTAGAAAAACATTCTTCATTCATAAATATTAATTTTAAAATAAATGGAATTGTCTAGAATTATGAAAACTGTGTATATAAATTATCCATACATATTACATTTTAATGTCAGAACAGAACTTCTCTGTGAACCAGGAATCTAACCATTTTGTCAAACCATTTACAGTAAGAGTGGTAATAATAAGAGTTAAATAAGAATAAGAATAAATTAACAAGAAAAAGAAACAAATATTAGAGACCAGGTGCTTTATAAACAATAAATATTTATTTCTCACAGTTTGGGAAACTGGGAAGTCCCAGATCATGGCACCAGTAGATTCAGTGTCTGGTGAGGACCACTTCCTCAGAGACCACCATCTTCCTGTAACCTTACATGGTGGAAAGGGCAAGAGATTTCTCTGGAGTCTTTACATAAGGGGACTAATGCCACATCACCTCCCAGTGTGCCCACCTCCTAATACCATCACTGTGGGGGTTAGGATTTCAAAAATGAATTTTTTGGGGGGAACACAAACATTCAATCTATAGGGCTCAGTATAGCCCCAAAATTGATTTTATAAAAATATTTCTAGAAAAAAATATGATTTGAAAATTGTTTTTTTAATGAAATCAATACTAGCATTCTCAACGACCCCAAGACATCACCCATACATTGAAACATTTTCACTGAGGCTTCCTATCTTTGATATCTCATGGTGATTTTTTCATATTATTTCATTTCAATGATGAAAACAATTATGTAATACTAGGATTGTAAAATAGCAGTCATTTGTTTATTTAAAGCATTTCTGTGTAGCTCATTTGTGAGCTATTGTTTTTCCTCTATTCTGCAAAATTATATTGGTTCAATTAGCCAACCTTCTTTCCATTTAGTCTTATGAATTATAGTGACTGTTTTACCATGATAACAGAGGCAGTTATTAATGAGTGTTTCTTTCGAAATTCAAAGTGAAAATAAATGGTTGGTGTGAAGTTAAGATTGTAATTCTGAAAATGCTAACGAAACCGTTGATACTGGAGCAGGTTACTTTGAAATTCCCTGAGTCTATAGATTACTCACTGAATCAGCATTATATGACGGCGCCTCTGATGTTACTGAAACCAACTCTCTAACACTTTGACTATATAAACACATTTCTGTTTTAAGACAATGTGATAAGTTTCCACTTTGCCGCTGCATTAATGTGGATACGGCCATTTAATTTCAGCTGGCAGCACAGGGCAAGCATGGAAATTAGGGCTTGGGTCCACTCCAGCGTGAGTAGACTTCTTTGACTCTTGGCTAAAGACAATTCTTGGAGCCTCCTTGACTCCAGAGGATTAAAGAGTCTGCACTGTCTCTGTGCTGAATCATTGTATCAAAAGGTTGGCTTTTAAAGTGTGCTTGTTTCCTTAGTTTGGTGTTCCCGGGACAGTAGTCATTAATGTAAGAAAACTTGATAACTGGTAGGTTCTACCTTCTTAACATCTCTTTCCATCCTTTATAGAACTGCTCAAGAAAACTTTCTAGAATTTAAAGTTTAGCCTATTAGTTAAAATCCTTCAGCGACACCCGTCCTCCCAAGGGACCCCTCCACACACACATAGCTTTTAGGATCGCATTTGAACTCCTTAGCCTAGCATTCTAGACCCTTCAGGAACTACCTCCTGCCTTACCTGGTTCCTACCACCTATCCACCCTCACACTTCATGCCAACAATACCTAATACCTATCATGACTCAAAAGGGTCAAGTACTTCATGCTTTTGTACACATGCTGTTCCAGAACTCCTTCTACTACTTTCTTTATTCTGCTCTTACTTCCCTTTACAACTCAGATTACCCCCTTCAAGAAGCTCTCCCTGACCCCACCTTCTCCATTTTCCTATATTACCCTGTCTGTGCCTCCCTCATTCCCAGCACTGTGATCATGTGTGTTCTTTCTAAGCCCCTACTCCCCGTAATCTCAGGGAGAGCAGGAATGGTGCCTTATGGGAATTCATTGTTTTCATGCCTAGCATAGGGCTTTGTACAAAAGGGGAACTCAAATATTTATCAAAATAATGAAATGAATCCGTGGGCCTATAGGCAATCAGCTAACTATCATAACATGTAGATGAGGCAGTGGAATTCGCTTCAGGTTACATTTTCATATAGTATCCAGTTATTTGTCCCCATACCCATCCTCTCCCACACCCTAAGTAGCGACTGAGACAGCGAGCCGGAACAAGAACACTGTCCTTTGGTTCTGAGGTAGAGCCTTTGTCTGAACAGACACAGCTGCCTCCTCGTGGAAGGAACTGTCTCCAAGATCTTGTCCTTATTAAGTCTGACAGAATCAACTTGGCCTCCACGTCAACACTCCATCCTAATGGCTTCCTTTTTAATCCTTTCCTCTTCCCAAAGCTAACATCTAGACCAGTAGAAATGGAGAAATATACATAGGCAAAAACCCACCAATTTTTGGAGGCTCACAGACTCTGAGCCAGTTTGTTGATACTGAATTAAGATCTTCTGTTCTGGGTCTTCTCAAGGACATGGTTTTCAATCACTCCCTTCATCCCCCAGAATACACGATCCCTCCTCTTCCAAACTCGTGGAATGTGTGATCTAAATCATAGCCTTTAATCTCCTCCTGTTTCTTTTTCTAATCCTACCTAACCTGGGAACTGGCACACAGTATGACTCAGTATTAGCTAGTGCATGGAGGAGTCCTCTGCAAGTTGTCTTCTGCCCTCACCATTCCAGAGAAACTGCCCTCGGCAAAGAAATCAATGATATTCCCCAAGTCAGATTCAGTGCCAGGTCTGAACTCTGCTATACCCAAAAAAGTGACCTCACGGGATGATCTCCAATTTTTTAAAATCCTCCGTCCTTTTGATTTCCATAGCATTGCCTTGTTGGGCTTGTCTCTTCCTGCGGCACCTTCTCAGACCTCTCTGCTGACACCTTTATCTTCTCTGCTCTGTCTCACCTCTTTCCTCTGCTCTTTTCCCTATAAACTTGGTCTTGGAAACCTGTCCACACAGAAAAATCCCAAGCCCATATTTCCATTCCTAAACTATAAGCTTCCATCTCCTTCTTTTCTGAGATCGTTTATGGACACCTTGTCTGAATGTCAAAATCTAAACTCATTATTCTGCCCAACCATCTCACTGTCCGGACTTTCCTGTTTGGGTTTCCATCCAGTGTTGTCAATGCCTCATTTGAAATCTTACTTAGATTTGCCACAACTATTCTATTGCCCACATTCTGTGCCTAGATTACAACAACAGCCTCTTAAAACAAACAAAATAAACTACTTTACCACTTACTGCAAACCAGGCACTATCCTACCTCATCTATATATTTTATCTTTAATCTTTACACCTCAAATCTATGAGTTTGTACAATTCTGATGTGCACTTTACAACTTGAGCGAATGGAGATTTAATCTCTCTGAACATGAAGTAGTTTACTCAGACCACACTGTAAGAAGTGGTGTCATGATTTGAATCCAAACTGTCTAACGCCAGAGCCCACTAAGCCTCACTGCCTTTTCCAGGGATCTCCAGCCCTTCTTTGTTTTCTTCTCCAGTGTATCTTGTGCATCACTGCTCCCAGAAAAATACTCCTTTAACAGGGCACCACTGTACTAGCCTCCGGTTCAAGGAGGAAAGAGACTTATTGAATATGTATAACTGTATGAGCTTTCACTGAGCACCTGACAGAGAGCCCTCTTCTTAGATTTGTGAACCTGCTCAGACTCCCTCCGCTAGAGGATTGAAGTCACTGAGCAACTCTAAAGTTAGACTGGTTGCCTTAATTTCAGTCTCACTTGCACCTTCAGAGAGTAATTACTCCCTTCACCAGCCCCAATTCTGGAGCCCTCACTGCCCAGGCCAGAATCCCATCCCTTCCACCAGAAGGAGGATTCGGGTATCACAGGTCCTCGGTGGTCTCTGTCCTTTTTCAAATCCAGAGGTTTTCAAAACATTTTCACAATCTTCTCAACCTAGTTAATCCTATTGCCCACCGTATCCTATCACCAACCAATCTACACAGTCCACTTGTTCTAATTCTATTGGTGAGGTTCAGCTTCTATTGTCATCCATTTCCTCATGCTGTCCTTCACCTAGAGATGCTTTCAGTATCATCCCTGCCTTCCCAAACAGGACTATTATAAATCTGTCTCAATTTCTCCCATAATTCCTTCCTTAACTATTCCAGTCCTCTCCGTCCTCAGAAATCCTGTTGAACATATAGTCTGCTGCACATTGCTTATCTAGCATTATGATTGTATCTTAATGTATTGCTTTATATCTTCTTAACCAAGAGGACATGCCAAAGGGCACTTTCCAGAACCAAAAGAAAGTTCCTCAAAGACAAATTCCAGTTTCACTCTTAGAGGACAGAACCAGTTTGCAACTCTCTAAGTGACATCATCCATCTTGAAAGAAGCTTTCAGAAATTCAATTCCTACTGCAACCTCTTTATAATATACCTACATACCATTGTATAATATACCTATATACCATTATGTAGCATCACTATATATTTTGTGTGACTCATGTGTGTTAGCAACAAAACCATAGATTCTAGAGGGCATGGACTATGTCTCATACTTGTATCCCCTCTGGCATCTGTAATAGCTCTATCAGGTAAATAGCAGATACTCAGTAAATATACCTTTATTAATTCATTGATAATTTTCAATCCAAGAGCTCCAACATCAAATGTTGATTCCTCTGTCATGTTCATCTGAGACCAAAGATTTTAAGTCCAGGAAATTATTTCCCTCATTTTGTTCACATCAAATAAGCAATGATTTTTCCCATGCCTTTCAAGGTATAGTACTAAAGCTTTTTGTCTTGATGGAACAGTTTGAATGCTAAAATTTGGAAACATGCTAAAGAAGATTAAAAATCTCAAACAATACCAAACAGGTCAACAGTAGCTGCAATGCAAGCACTTCTACGTAAAAAATCTCACGGCGACTTTAAAAGAAAGCATGCAGAGTAGTATTCATATGGTCACTCTTCAAAACTGTGTTGCTGTGTGAGCAGAACTGTTTGCTTTCCTGAACTCATTTTCTATATTGTCATAAATTAAAATTCCAATTTGTTCTGGTAAATACTTTGGCACTGACTGTATGCTAATGCTAAGCCTCTTATTTCCTGCCATGAGTTGAACGCCATTCTCCACCACAAAGCTCATAGCTGAAAGCCCGTAGCTCAGTGCACCATCCGACAGACATTACCAGGGCAGTATGTAACCACGGTTGTAGCAAAAAGTAAGTTAACATATGGAGCAAATTAGGGGGCATAGTCATGAAGGTTCAGATACATCAGGATTCATCATTGGGGTACAGATACAATGAAGGCTCAAACTCATTCTATGAAAAGGAGATACATAAATACTGAAAGGTATAAAAAGTATAACTTGATGAATAATTTATTACGTTCTAAGAGTTTATGAAAACTAAATGTTTTTCTGCCCTCCAGTGACCAAAAATGAAGAAGTAAAAATAATCATGGTGAAACACTACAGAATAGGTTTAGATGAAAAATACGAAGTGACAAAAAAGTGGTCTTTGAACGATCTGCAGATGATTGATGGAAAAGAAGCAGATACTGTAAGTGTTATGTTTTGCAAGGGAGATGTGGGATCAATATGCTAGAAATCTTTGTGTTCAATATCCTACTTCATATTATTCTTGGCATATACTAAGTGTTAAGATGACATATTGTTCTTAAGTGCTATAGGTTTTTTCTGCTGGGATAATCCACGGGATTTTTTGTTCCATTTTTCTGAGTTGGAGTTTGAATTTTTGTCCATTAAATTTAAAAGCATCTTTCCCAAGGGATTCTTAACAGGTTAAACACGATCTGCCAGTCAATCCTAAAACTTTATATGATGCTTCCACCACAACCTTCTCCCCACCCCAAGTTCCTCCATTAAATTTTGGGGATTCCTTCCTCATCTTCTTCAAACTACTGTTAGTTAGCCACTTGATCCTCCAGAAAAACCAATAACTCCTGGAAATCCTACAACCTTAGAGTTGAAAGGTGGGGAGAGGGTGTATATGCCAATCTCTCCACATAACCTCTTGACAAGTGGTTTTCTCAGTCTTCCCTTGAATTTGTCCATTGATGGGGAACTCATTGTCATGTGAGGAAGTCCATTCAATTTCTGAATTGCCATACTTTATTTTTAAATTTTCTGCTATGTTTAACCAAAAATCTGCTTCACTCTAACATCCACCCATCAGTCCTGGTTTTGCCATTTGGAGCAACTTAGAAAAACTCCAATCCTCCTTTCACATAGCAGCCTTTCTAATATTTGAAGATGATTATAATGTTCCCTCAAGTTCTCTATTTTCTAGGTTAAATGTAACCATTTCATTCTTTAAATAACTTTCACATGAAGATCAAATCAGATAATATGATGGGACAATACAAATATTAAGAGGTAGTAGCATTGTTGTGGTTTCTTTCTCATGACATTGCTTCAACACCCTCACTACCCTGTTTTCTCTCCCCTGGAATGCTCCAGCTTTTCCAGAATTAAATACAATAATTTAGAATTAGTGTGACTAGTTTGTATTTCCTTCGATCTGAATTCTTTATTTCTCTTAAACACTTACCTGAAACCTCAGGTCTTTTGTGCCTGAATTACCATTTAACCTGATCTGCCATTACTTACATAGCATAAAGTTTAAATTAGGGCTCTTGGTGATTTGGCTCCTTTATTTCTGGTCATTCCCCCTTAAACTGTATACATCCACAGTGCTTAACTACTGACTCTTGAGGTTTAAAATGCCCAGGCACCTCCATCTCTCACCCCATTCCCAGATTCCCTATTGGGTAGAGTCCTACTAGTGTTTCCCTTCCCCAAAACCACCATTGCGTTGTGGATGTAAGTTACAGACATAATTCCAGAAACTGCAATTGTTGGCTTACTCTGTCTCTCCTCTGGATAGAAACCTCCTAAAAAACTGAGACCATGACTTTTGATCTCTTATCGTAGCCTTCTGCCTTATAGATATTAAGCATTCAATAGGTATTTGTGTTTTTGTTGGATCAATTAGAATTTAAGCTTATTTATTCTTTTTTTTTATTATTATGTTCGATTTGCCAACATATAGTGCATCATTAGTTTTCGATGTAGTGTTCAATGATTCATTAGTTGCAGATAACATCCAGTGCTCATCACCACACGTGCCCTCCTTAATGCCCATCACCCGGTTACCCATCCTCACCCCCCTCCCTTCTGTAACCCTCAGTTTGGTTTCCGGAGTCCAAAGTCTCTCATGGTTTGTCTCCCTCTCTGATGTCTTCCCATTCAGTTTTCCCTCCCTTCCCCTGTGGTCCTCTGCTCTATTCCTTATGTTCCACGTATGAGTGAAACCATATGATAATTGTCTTTCTCTGTTTGACTTATTTCACTTAGCATAATCCCCTCCAGTTCCCATCCATGTCGATGCATTTATTCTTTATCTTAGTGAATACCATATTCTTAGTTTAGCTTATTATTCCCACCTATCAAATCTTTTTTTTTTTTAAAGATTTTATTTATTTATTTGACTGAGAGAGACACAGCAAGAGAGGGAACACAAGCAGGGGGAGTGGGAAGGGGAGAAGCAGGCTTCCCATGGAGCAGGGAGCCCGATGCGGGCTCTATCCCAGGACCCTGGGATCATGACCTGAGCCGAAGGCAGACGCTTAACGACTGAGCCACCCAGGCGTCCCTATCAAATCTTTTAATACTTGATTTTTTAATATTCACTGTGGTATGATGCAGATTTAATGAGCACAACATGTAAGACTTGATTCAAGTCAATAATAAAAATGATGAAACAAGCAGAGCTAAGCGCCATCTGGGTAACCTCTAGGTAATTGATTGGTTATTATTACCACCACTTGTAATACCGATCCCTGCTACTATCTCACACTTAGTAAACTCTTATCAGATGCCAGGAACCACATGAAGCTCTTTTCATATATATTTCACATAATCATCACAAACCTTATAGAATTAGATTCTGTTATTACTTCCAATTTACAAATGAGGAAAACGAAACTTGAAGAGATTAATTGACTTGCCCAAGGTTACAAAGCTATTCAGTGGTGGAACTACACTTTGCCCAGAAACCTTCTTTGGACTGCTTGTTTAACATCTCTACAAATTCATATATTCATTCATTCATTCATTCATTCAGAATTTGTGGTATACCAGGTTCTACTAGGCTCTTAAGATATGGTGGTGAAATAGACATAAGCATTTAATCCTACCTGACTTACTTATTTACTTAATTATCTAGTCTGAATACATGAATTTTGCCCTTATGATCTTTACTGAAATCAATATATACTATCTGCTATTATCTTGACATTACCTAGGAATCAATCCTATTTTTAAAATTTGGTATGTTTGGCATGACTTCTTGGTGAAAGCATGCTGGATTTCGTTGCTTTTTTTTCCTGAGTACTCACATAGCATTTTTCTGATAATATATTCAACCTAAAAGTTCAACACTTAGGAAATAGTTATTATTGCATATCAATATGGTGGAATGTTACATGTCATTAAAAATCATGTTTCCAGAAGAATGACTCAGAACTCAATTGTTCACTACTTAATAAGTTTTTTAAAAGTCAGCCAAATAGGGGCACCTGGGTGGCTCAGTTGGTTAAGCGACTGCCTTCGGCTCAGGTCATGATCCTGGAGTCCTGGGACTGAGTCCCGCATTGGGCTCCCTGCTCGGCGGGGAGTCTGCTTCTCCCTCTGACCCTCCCCCCTCTCATGTGCTCTCTCTATCTCATTCTCTCTCTCAAATAAATAAATAAAATCTTTAAAAAAAAAAAAAGTCAGCCAAATACAAAATTTTTCTACTGTTATCTCATTTTGCATATTTAGAATATTTCATATTATTGAAAACTGAAATCTGAACCTTAAATTCAAATACAAAAAATACATATAGGTATATGTATTTATGCATGTATATCTATATATGAAAGAAAGCAGTATTTTAACAATAATTATCTCTGTGTGATAGGATTACATATTTTTAAATTATTATTTCTTCTTTATACTTCTATGTAATTGTCAAAATTTCTTTTTTTTTTAAAGATTTTATTTATTTATTCATGAGAGACAGAGAGAGAGACACAGAGGCAGAGGGAGAAGCAGGCTCCCAAGGAGCAGGGAGCCCGATGCAGGACTCGATCCCAGGACTCTGGGATCATGACCTGAGCCGAAGGCAGACGCTTAACCATCTGAGCCACCCAGGCGCCCCCGTAATTGTCAAAATACTATACTGCATTGAATTTTATCAGAAATCAATCTCAAGGTGCTCCTGGGTGGCTCAGTTGGTTAAACGTCTGACTCTTGATTTCAGCTCAGGTCATGATCTCGGGGTGTGAGATCAAGCCCTGTGTCAGGCTCTGCACTGATTGTGGACCTGCTTAAGATTCTCTCCCTCTCCTTCTGCCTCTCTCCATCCCCCACTTGTGCACTCTCTTTCACTCTCCACTCTCTCTCTCTAAAAAGGAAAAAAAAAATCTTACTGTGCTGTTTAATAAATAAAAGAAATATTTTTTTAAAAAAAGAAGTCAGTGTCAAGTTCACCAATCTAGTTCCAGGAATTAACCATCCCTGCCTCTTTTTTGGCCCATTTTTCTTTTCTTATTTTTCTCTCAAGTTCTCAAATATTACTGATGTCCATAATGATTTCCTACAAGTTTGGTCAGTGCCTGGGGTTGTATTCAGCAAGCCTGTCAACTTAGATTCCCTGGAAGCAGCTCACTGTGCTCTATTTTCTCCTCACCTTCCTGGCCTTAATTCCATCCCAACCTTGTTGATTCTTCCCTTTCCTGTTGAAGATCATCATCTTTTATAGTGATCTAGATACAAAAGAGAAATTGAGTATTTCTAATTTTCTCATCACTTTAGGACCCAAAAATACTAAACTGCCAGAAAAAAAAAAAAAACCCTATAATATCCAAAGAGCAGTTCTTTTAAAGATTTATTTTCTGTGGATGAAACGAAAATATCCCAGTTGTTCTGGGAATTTCTATGTCTCCTCTCTCTTGGAATTGAATCCTCAGAAGTCAGCATCTATTATATTTTTCTCAATAGCAACAATACGGTTTTAAATAGAACAATTCCAAGCCAGAGAGTTGTCAACTTTAAAATGGAATGGAATTAAAACTGAAGTCAATCTATAAAGCAGAAATCAAAAGGACTGGGGATTTGGAGAGTGATGTGGTTGGTATATCAGGAGGGCAGATGGTGTAGCAAAACATCAGGCTGAGTTGATTGAGATCTTTGTTCTTGTCCCGGCTCTGCCAACAACTACATGTGTGACCAGGGCTCTCCCTCTCTGGAAACTATTACCCCAGACATAAACAAGAAGTCACTGAGTGATCCGTGAGACCCCCTTCTAGCTCTAGGATTCTATGGAAAGAAAGAATGAGAGAAGGGAGGGGGAGAGAAAGAAGAGGAAGGAAGCACTTGTATTCTATGTGCATGCCTGCTCAGGCTTCAATTATTAGGCTAAAGTAGAAAAGTAATCATCTGTGAGTATCGCAAAGGCATAACGGGTATTATCTACAGGATAAGGAGCCAATGTTTTAGTGAGAAAACTATATAAAGAGCATGATTAGTATATGGTGATGGAATGGGTGTGATTTCCTTTTATTGAGATTTCCTGCAGAAGTGTCTTTCAAGCTGCAATTATGACAGCCAGGAAAAATTTTGCAAGGTGTGGCTCAAGGGAACACTGCATTTAAAATCACATCACTTTTGAATCATGGAACACTACATCAAAAACTAATGATGTAATGTATGGTGATTAACATAACATGATAAAATAAAATAAATAAAAATAAATAAAAATAAATCACATCACTTTGTTGGTTTTTTTTAATTTACTGGCATGAAGCAAGGCAGTATTCATACCAATATCACAATCTTTGGGGGCAGATTCGGGGAAAAAGAGCTATTATTCATTAAACTCTACCCTTGCAGTTTTTTAAATTAATCTCATGTAAATTTCATAGCAACCATATTTAAAATGAAGAGTGAAGGTCAGATCAGGTAAGTATTTTGCCCATGGTTACATCAGAGATTCAAAATGGTTATCTAACTTCAAAACTCATGTTCTTTTTCCTGCATCCTGCAAGAATTTTCCTATTTAAAAGAGAAATTGCAAATGCATAGCTGTTTCTTTATAATGTTTACACACTACCTGGTAACAAATTATTAATAGTCTGGTTTGGTCTCTCTCCACCTCTTTGTCATTTAGGGCAACATTTACCTCCACCTCTCTTTTTATAGGACTACTTCTGATCAGTTCAACACACATTTGTTGAGAACTTAGTAGTTGCCAGGGATAAGCACTAGGAACTCAGAGATAAATAATTCAAAACCTCTGCCCTCAAAAAGAGTTAGGGGTTAGACAGTTAATGAATGTGGAAGCATTTTGTAAACTGAAAAGCATTTCATAAATGCAAAGCATTGTTGTTACTGCTCTTAGTAACAGCAATTATTATTATTTTAATATATAGGACCTAGATGAGGTTTGATGTTTTTTCCTCCAAACACCTCTGCTAGAAATATAGCAACAGCCTAGAGCAATCAATAGAGGCAGTCTTAAGTAATTTGACAATTTCAGTCAAATGATTTAATGATCCCAGCTGTTAACTTCAAAGGTAATTCCTTGCTATTAATATTAACTTCAAAGTCAGCAAGCTGGTGATCTGTATCATGCTAAATGCTAATCTTGCCATCTTGTATTTCCCCCTTCTACCATTGGAGTAGCACAAAGGATCAATAAAGAAAAGGAGGAATCTTTTCTCCCCTCCAGAACGGGGGTTTATTTCTCTTTTTCCATCCCAACTTATCCTCTCAAACTCACTACTGTGGGAAAACTTGATAACTGTGCATCCTGAAACATGTTTTGTTTGAATAATTGAAAAATCACAGAGGCTTCCAAAATAATCTTCCATATTATTCTCTTTAGAAGAAATATGTTCAAAGCAGATAGCTTTGGAAAGTTCATTTGTAGGTTTTAGAAATATGTTTGATACTGATACTTTACAATCAATAAGCATATGTAAGAGAATATGAGAGAATCCCCAGGAAATCTAGCTACTTTCCTGGCTACAAGCAAAATCATGTCTCTGTTTTTCTTCTAGGACAATCCATTTTTTGATCTGCATTTCAAGAAAGTGTACAGTTTGGAAGCATACAGTTGTGCTTCTAAATATGCCTTTGCTCGAACTGTAAATAAGCTGAATCATGCGTATCTTAAGAAGGATTTACAGATTGTGAACTTTGATTCTACTTACATTAATGATGATTCTATTTGGTCCTCCAACAACAAGGATTGCTTGGTTCTTATGAGAATATGCTTTTATGTTTTCAATCTAGTGTGCTTATCCCTGTGTCCCCTGCCACTCTGAAGATGTATATCATGTTCCTTCATCAGTGTTCTATGAAGATGGTTCCCTAGGTAAATACCGATAATCGTGATCTTGTTTTTCCCCTTCATCAGTGACTATGATTTATATGAAAATAAAGTGATTTGCAGTGAAATGTGTTTTAATGCAATCATTCAACAGTTGGGACTTTGGCCTGTGCATTGCTTGGTAACTTTAGAAGGAGTTGGATGGTTTTGCCTACATTTGTATTCTACCAAAAAGTATCAAGAAGTATCTTGAAAGGCCTAAGTAAATGGAAAGACAACCATGTTCATGGATAAGAATTAATATTGTCAAGATGTCTGTACTACCCAAAGCAAGCTACAGATTCAATGCAATCTCTATTAAAATTTCAACAATATTTTTAGCAGAAATGGAAAAGTTGATCCTCAAAATCATATGAAATTGCAAGGGGGCCTGAATAGCCAAACAATCTTGAAACAGAAGTACAAAGCTGAAGGACTCACATCTCCCAACTTCAAAACTTACTACAAAACTACAGTAATCAAAACAGTGTGGTACTGGCATAAGGATAGCCATATAGACCAGTGGGATAGAATTGAGAGTTCAGAAATAAATCCAAACATCTATGATCAGCAGATTTTTGACAAGGGTGCCAGATACATTCAAAGAGGAAAGAATAATCTCTTCACCAAATGGTGCTGGGACAGCTGGATATCCCCAAGCAAAGGAATGAAGCCCCTATCTTACACCATATATAAAAATCAACTTAAAATGGGTTAAAGACTTAAATATAAGACCTGACACCATAAAATTACTAAAAGAAAATATAGTGGTAAATCTTCAGGACCTTGGATTTGGCAGTGGATTCTTATGAAGTCAAAAAGTATGAGCAACAAAAGAAAAAATAGATTGGACTTCATCAACACTGCTTTTGTATCAAAGGACATTATCAAGAAAGTGAAAAACCTACAGAGTGGGAGAAAATATTTGCAAATCATGTACATGTTAAGAGTTTAATACCCAGAATATATAAATAACTCCTACAACTCAGTATCAAAAAGACAAACAGCCCAATTCAAAAATGACCCACATAGACATTTTTCCAAAGAAGATATACAATAAGCACAAGAAAAGATACTCAACATCTTTAGTCACAGGGAAATACAAGTTAAAGCCACAATGAGATACCACTTCACACCTATTAGGATGGCTTTAAAAACAAAAACAAAACCAGAAAATAACAAGTATTATCCAAGATGTGGAGGATTGGAGCCCTTATATGTTGTTGGTGGGAATGTAAAATGGCACAGTCACTGTAGAAAACAGTTTCACATTTCCTCAAAAAGCTAAACACCAAATTACCAAATGACCCAGAAATTCCACTCCTATGTATATATTCAAAGGAATTGAAAGCAGGGGCTTGAATAGATATTTGCACAGCGATGTTCTTCGCAGCATTATTCACAAGAGCCGAAAGATGGAAACACCCCAAGTATCCATAAACAGATGAATGGAGACACTAAATGCAGTCTATCCATACAGTGGAATATTTTTCTGCCATAAAAAGCAATGATGTTCTGATACATACTACAATATGGATGAATGTTGAAAATATACTAAGTGAAATATCAGACAAAAAAGAACAAATATTGTATGATTTTACTTACATGAAATATCTAGAATAGGCAAATCCAGAAACAGAAAGTAGGTAAGAGGTTATCAGGGGCTGGAAGGAGACAAAAATGGGGAGTTGTTGCTGAATGATTACAGAGTTTCTGTTTGGGTTGAAGAAAAAGGTTTGAAATAGATGGTGGTCATGGCTGTACAACATTGAGCATATAATTAAGACTGCTGAATTGTACATTTACAAGATGGTCAGAAAGGTAAATTTAATGTTATATATATTTTACCATGATTTAAAAAAATAATAATGTAATATGCTAAAAGTCACTGAATTGTACACTTTAAATGAGTGAATTGTATGGTATGCAAATTAAATCTCAATAAAGCTGTTTAAAAAAAGGACTACGTTTAGTCTGTTAAAAGTCTACTAGAAGAAAACATGAGTGAATTTTTTTATAAACTGAGACTGGGAAAAACTGCTAGCTATCACTCAAATCCAGAAATAATAAAGAAAAAAGTGATTACATAAATATAAGAAGACTTTGCATGAAAAAATACTATAAATAATCAAATAACAAATGACAAAGTTGGAAAAAATGCAAATTATAACAATACACTAATATTTTTCATAAATGGAATTCTCCTACACTTGAGAGGTTAAAAAGACCAACAATGCAAGGGCACCTGGGTGGCTCAGTTGGTTCAGCATCTGACTCTTGGTTTCAGCTCAGGTCATGATCTCAGGGTCATGGGATTGAGCCCCACATCCAGCTTCATGTTCACTGCTGAGTCTGCTTAAGTTTCTCTCCTTCTGCATCCCCTGCTCTCTCTCTATCTAAAATAAATAAATCTTTTTTTATTTAAAGATTTTGTTTATTTATTTGACAGACACAGCAAGAGAGGGAACACAAGCAGGGAGAGTGGGAGAAGGAGAAGCAGGCTTCCGGCGGAGCAGGGAGCCCGATGCGGGGCTCGATTTCAGGACCCTGGGATCATGACCTGAGCCGAAGGCAGACACCCAACGACTGAGCCACCCAGGTGCCCCCAAAAATAAATAAATCTTAAAAAAAAAAGACCAAGAATGCAATTTGCTAAAAAATTAGAAAATGATATGAACAGACATTTCATTAAGAATTGCAAATGACACTTAAACATATGAAAAGATGATTGACCTTGCCCATAATAAGAGAAATTTAAATTAAATCTATAGTATGATCCTGTTTCTCACCTATTAGATGGGCAAAAATCCAAAACTTTAACAATATTTCACTGGAAGTGGGAAAACAGGCTCTCTCATTCATTGTTGTTGGAAATGCAAAAGGGTACAAATCCTATAGGAGAGGAATTCGACAATATCTTGTAAAACTACATATACATTTACTCTTTGGCCCAGCAATTTAAATTTTTCCTAGGACTCTATCCCAAAGATATTTTAGCAAAGGTACAGAATGACACATGCACAGGCATGTGACACTGTTTACAAGAGCAAAATATTTCAAATAGCTCAACTAATCATCACTAGAGGATGAATGGAATAAACCGTGGCACACACACACAATACAGTACTGTGCAGGAGTACAAAGTGGGAAATAGTGAAGGCGCCAGGTGTGCCCTGAGTGGAGGCTGTTGGCATGGAAAGCTGCAGGTGGGCTAACTAGAAGCAGGGTATCCTAGGTGATTGGTTAAAGACACATATTTGGCTTTCTCCAGTAGGTCCTAAGCTAGAAGTGGGGGCCAAAATTAAGGAAGTTGTCAATTATTAATCAAGTCCAGGCCACTTGGACCAGGCTATTTGACTTTCTAGGCTGATTGTTACAGATAGTAGTTTGACTTCCTGGACTGGTTATTGCACCTACTAGGTTGGCTTCCTAAGCTGATTGCTGCAGGTTGTGGGTCAGAGTTCTATTCCTGCATGTAGTTTGGCCATGGCCATTTGCATATTCAGAAATATCTTAATTATGGTGGTAGTCACATGACTGTATATGCTTGTCAAAATCCACAGAATCTAAACCATATTCTGAAGTTTGTTACTAGTAATATTGGTAATGTTATTTTGAAACAATTATGAGAGTATTGAGTATTGTAAGATAAAGCATATGTTATCATGTTAATGTCATTAGAAACTGAGATTTCAAACTTAAGAGAGAGAATACATAAGAATGAAATCAAAAAATTAAAACCCTGAAGGAGTAATTTAACTGAAAATATTAATATAAACTCGTCCTTTTAAAAAATAAGCATGCATTTTCTAGATTTGTCCACCAAGACCTTGAAGCAAAGACATCATGAGCAATGAGCATCTTAGCTTTCAAGAATCGTCTATAAACGCTATTCCTTACTGAAAAGAATGCAGATTCCTTAAAGAAATTACTGATTCTAAGTCTGGGGCAGAAAATGCACAAGATGAACATGGGACATCCTCATAGATGTCCAGGAAGAAAAGAAGCTATCAAAGTCAATTGGGATCAGTCAAAGGACAAAGGAGCCAATTTGAAGTAGCTCCCACTGGCCTAAGATGGAGAAATCTAAGCATAACAAAGAAAATGACTATAATAGAATGAAACACAGCAAATATATATATAAATCCATGAATTTCATAATATTAAAAATCTCATTTATCATCATTGGGATATCTGAAGATTGGTAGATAAAAGAAAGACTCAAGCATGTATCTTGCCTTTTCTGTAGGAACTGTATTCTGGGGAAGATTTAAAGAAGAATTCCAAGTAATAAATGCAGGAGGAATGATAGAACTAGAAAGTTGCCGTTTTGCAATCTCTAATGAAATAATGGATTTAGGCAACAATTATCAGTGAACGCTAAAACCATTAGGGGAAAGTTTATGGTGAACTTTATAATGAAGGGACCAGGCTGACACCACTTGAACCCAATGAGCCATCTTAGTATCACTAGAAGTGGGTGAGCCAACCTGAAGGACTCATGAGGCAATGAAGTAAGTACATGGCACCACCAGTGAAGGAGTCTCACCTAAAAAATGAACCTGAATCTAATCCATCTTCTAGGCCTAGCCACAGGAAATATGAGGGAATGAGCTAAATGACACCCAAATACAGAATGTGAAATTCTACAGCACCAGTGACTCAGTTTCCCTAACAAATCAATTTTTTAAAGCATGGAGGGTGGGGAGGAGCACTGTTTATTATTATCTTATTTCATAAAAGAGACTTAAGAAATGTAGTGTCCAAATACTACATGTGGACCTGGTTTGGACCCTGATTTGAATACACCAAGTATAAAAAGATAGTTTTGAAATAGGGAAATATGAATTTGTAAAGTATTAGATATCGAGGAATGGGTTGTTAATTTTGTTAAGTGTGATAAGAATGTGGTGGGTTCGTTTTATTAAAAAGTCCTTATACACTAGATAAGATAGTTAGATACTGGGATATTTATTGGTAATATGTCATGAAGCAGGGATTTATTTTCAAATACTCCAGGGAGGAAAAAACGGAAGACAATAAAAAATAGGATTGGCATAGTCATTATCGAAACTGGATGATTAATCCATGGGAGTTTATTATACCAGTCTCTCTACTTTTGTGTACATTTAAAATTTTCATAATAAAAAATTTAAAAGTACCACATCTATTGTCCTGAAACAAAGGTTGAAGA